CTCAGGGAATGTTCTTTGAACCCCTGCCTAGGTCCACCCTGGCCTCCCTACAATTATATGCTGTCCTGGTTCTCTCATCATTAGACCATAAGCTGTGTGAGGACAGGGACAGTGCCTGGCTTTGCTCACCACTATTTCCCCAGGACTTAGCATAGGGTCTGGCGTTGAAAAAATGCTCCATATGAGTCAGGTTATGGCTGTAATAATGCTCTGTCCAAAACCACCTCAAAGTCAGAGTCATACAACAATCAATGCTATTTCCTTCCACTTGACTGGGGTTTGGTTACTCTGGGCTGAGCTCCCCTGGGCCTGGTTCTAACCTGTGGGTTGGGTGCATCTACCACAGGAATACTCTGCAAAATGTAGGAATGCAAGAGGACATACACAACCAGGCAAGAACCCCTTGGCCAAAGAAGTCCTGAGGCCAAGGCAAGGGTGTGGGTGTGGTAGACCAAGTGAAGAATGGAAGCCACTGAACTCTGCTCATAACTCTGCTAGTAACTCTCTGAGGTGTGGAGGAGAACACCTGCCCTGCGCTAGGCATTGCGCTAAGCACTTTACATGCATTAATTCATTTAGTCCTCAAGTCAAACCCTGGAAGTTATTATTATTCCCATTTTTAAAAAAGTAGTTTAATTGAAAAAATAAAACCTGCACAAAGTAAACAACTCAAATCATACCAAATGCATTCGATGAAAAGTCACTCTCCTTCCTACTCCAACCCCAGCCCTACTCCCTGGAGAGGAAGCACTATTTTAGTTGTATTATAGACTTTCTGATATAGTCTATGCATATACAAAGCACCTACATGTGCAGCATATGAAACATCTCTTTAAAATTGTGACTTGAGTCAGGTGCGATGGCACATACCTATAATCCCAGCGACTTTGGAGACTGAGACAGGAGGATTGCCAAGTTCGAAGGCAGCTTCAGTAAACTAGACAGGCTTTAAGCAACTTAGTGAGACCCTGTCTCAAAATAGGAAATAAACAGGGGCAGGGTGTGGCTCAGTGGTTAACCCCTGGATTCAACTCCCAGTACCAAAAAAAAAAAAAAAAAAGACTTGAACTGAGGACACAGCTCAGGGCTACAGTGCTTGAATCAATAAATAACTTAAAATATGACTTGGTACTAGCATATTGACACTTTCCTGCATCCTGATTTCATTTAGTTTTCAACGAATAATATATCCTGGAGCTCCTTTCTTTTTGGTCAAGTTAATCTACATTTATTTTCCACCTCTTTCCATTTCACAGATGAGAAAACTGAGGCTTCAAGAAGTTAAGAAACTTTCACATAGTGCTATAGCTCCAAAGAGGATGAGCTGGAATTGAAACACCTCTGCCTGAATCAGAGCCTGTGGACCTAGCTGCTCTATTCTATGACATGGCTGGGAGCACTCACAGGGTCAGAGCATGGGCACAGTGACCCAGACCAGAACCTCTGGGCTCCAGCTGGGGTCCTCAGTGACAAGGGCAAATGGGTCAACTAGGATCTGCTGGTATCGCTACTGATCCCCTGAGTTCAATCCACAGTACTGGAGTGAGTGTGGGGAAAGCCTGGTGCTGGATCCTAGCCTCAGAGACTGATTGAAAGAGCTGCACCAGGAGTTCAGGATTCTTAAAACTTCTCAAATGGTTCTGCTGCTCAAACAAAGTTGAGAAGCACTGTTATCCTGGACCTCAAGTGAGTGGAAGATAACAATTATGGAAGCCCTCTTCCCTTTTTGCTAGTCAGCTACTTCCAGTCCTGCCCTTCACACATCAACAGCCAGAGGTCATAAAACACAAATCAGAGCCTGTGGCATGGTGGCACATGCCTGTAATCCCAGCAACTCAGGAGGCTGAGGCAGGAGAATCTCAAGTTGAGGTCAGCCTCACCAACTTAGTGAAACCCTGTCTCAAAATAAAAAATAAAGCTGGGTATGGTGGCAGCTGGGTGTGTAAGCTCAGGGATTCTAAGGCAGGGGGATTGCAAGTTCAAGGCCATCTCAGTAATTTAGGGAGGCCCTAAGCAACTTAGTGAGACCCTGTATCAAAATAATTTTTTTTTTTTAAAAAGGGCTGGGATGTAGCTCAGTGGTAAAGCACCCCCTGGGTTCAATCCTTAGTGTGTGTGTGTGTGTGTGTGTGTGTGTGTGTGTGTGTGTGTGTATTTATTTATTTTTAATTTTTTAAAAAAAGGGCTGGGGATGCAGCTCAGTGGTACAGCACCCCTAGGTTCAATTCCCAGCACTACCAAAATAAATAAATAAGGTATATATATTAATAACAGCTTTTATCTAGTGAGTTCAGTCGAGCCTCCCTGTCTGTGGGTTTTACATCTGCAGAGTCGACCGACCTCAAATGGAAAATATATTTTTTAAAATTGCATCTGTACTGAACATGAAGAGAATTTTTTCCTTGCCATTAATCCCTAAACAATACAGTATAACAACTATTTACATAGCATTTACATTGTGTTAGGCATTATAAGTCATCCAGAGATGATTTTAAAGTATGGGGGAGGATGTGTGTGGGTTACATGCAAATTTATATAAGAGATTTGAGTATCCGTGGATTGTGACATCTGAGGGGATCTGGGAACCCCAAGGCTCCTGAGGGAGGAGGGATGACCGTACTTCTGACGTCACTTCAGTCGGAGTACTGTGGGGAGAGCCAAGGGACTCCCCTCTCTCGCATCCTCCTGCACCCTAGGAGCCTCTCTGCCCTGCTCCAGCTCCCTGTCCTAATTATACAGTTCCTCCAGCAGCATGGATTCTGCCTCCTCCCGTCCTCCCATAGGCCAAAGCTGAGGGGGCCCTGGACCTTTTCCAGAGCCCTTGCTCACGGGGCAGTGCAGTAGGGCACCTTGCGGGACTCAGGAGATTGGCTGCTGGGGGAGCCTGAGGGATGCAGCCAGGGGCAACCTCCCAGCCCATACCACACCAGTTATGGCTGCAGAGGGAAGACAGGCCCCTGGGGAGAGGGCAGTGAAGGAGAATGGCTAGAATATAAGCCAAGATCTAGGGGCCTGGGTGCAGAGAGGACAGAGAGCAGATGCTTCGAAGACCATCTAAAATACCTTAACCCCAGGTGTGGGGACGCTGGCCTGTAATCCCAGTGGTTCAGTGGCTGAGGCAGGAGGATCTCAAGTTCAAAGCCAGTCTTAGCAATGATAAGGCCCTAAGCAACTGAGTGAAACCCTGTCTCTAAATAAAATACAAAATAGGTCTGGGGGTGTGGCTCAGTGGTTGAGTGCTCCTGGGTTCAATCCCTTAGTACCCGTCCCTCCCCAAAAGATGCTTTCAGCCATCCCCTCATTCTGCCCTCCCAACCTGATCCCCAGGCTGTTAATGTCCCCTGAAATCTTGCCAGACTGTCCCAGCCCCTTGAGGGAAAAGAAGCCATATAACCAGCATCCAGAGACCATCCTTCTCATTTTCACCATCTTTGTGACTGACAGTGTGCTAAGCACTTCACACACACCTTTCAGTTCATCCTCACAGCAGTCACAGAAGGCCATCCCTATCATTATCCTTGAACAGATGGAGAAACTGAGGGTCAGAGTGGGTCATTTGTCCAAGGTCACCCCTTTTGTCTATCTCAGAGCTCAGCTCTTAACCACGATTCTATACTTGCTCCCCCAAAGCCTACGTGCCTCGAACCATCACAAATAACTAATCCAAAAGGACAGCCTCCAACAAGGCAAGAGTCTGCATACATTCTTCTGGAGAAAATAATGGTGATGCAGTGGAGCCTGTCCGTCATTTTGATAGTAGCTTTCCCTTCACGCTGAGTAAAGGTGCTGCAATTACTGTGGCCACCTCTGGCATGAGGGAATTTAAAGGAAGACAGAATCATAGGATGTCAGGCGGGCAGAGACCTGATGCCACACCTCTAGCTCACAGGTGGAGGGAAAAAAAAAAAAAAGAAGAGGTCCACAGAGGCTTCCCACACCCCCCTAGAAGCAGCCAGCTCAGTTTGTGATGTGGGTTCTCTGGATATCGCCATCCATAGCCCCACGCCTGCGCGGGGTCTTCTGCAGCCAGCCTAGCTGCTGCTTTGGTAGATTTCCATTTTGAATTTCAGCTCTCTTACCCGCAAGCCCCTGGGAGCCTCCTGCTTCCTCTCATTTCTTGTGTCTTTAAAGAAAACTCTCCTTGCCTGAGCTCCCTCCCATTGGATTTTGTCCTTTGGAGCCCGGCCTCTCTCCCTTCCTGCCCTCTCTCCTTCCTCTCCCTCCTCCCATCCAGCATCTTCCTCTTCCTTTTTCTGCAGGGGGAGGAGGAGCCCCGAGTGCCCCCCACCCGACCCGACGTGGCCACGCATCCCCCTCCCCGGTGGCAGTCGGGGTCCTTTGGCTTTACTGCAGCGCCTCTAACTGCAGCTTCTCCCCCTCTCCCAGGGTTGCTGGAAGATTATTAGATAATTTTCAAATTTGTAAAGCGCCTTAAGCTCCTCGGAGGCAAGGTGGTATATGAGTGTAATAACAATAACAATCCTATCTGTCAGAGCCATTGAGAAAATGAATCTTGTTATCCTCAAGAACCAGCCTAGGAACCTCAGCAAGAAACATGAAAATACAGCACGGAGCTCCGTCTCCTGACCAATCCGGGGAGGGGAAAGTGCCACCCAAGCATCGAGGTGACTGACATTCGAGTCCCCCTCTCCCACAAGCCCAGGGCTAACGGGAAGGGGCTCTCAGAAAGTCACCCAAATTGCCTTTGACGCTTCACCAATTAAAATGACTTTAGGACAAGTTGAAATCAACTTAGGGAGCAAAGCATTCTGATTTCTGAAACTCTCCGAAGGCAGCGGGGAAGGCAAGTGTCTGAGCAGGTTGTCACTCACTCAGGAGTAATGATGGGAAAATCCATCAGGGTAACGTGATTGAGTTTGGTGAATTAGTAGGGATGTTTACACTGCGCTGCGGAGTCAGGATGGGGCTGGCTGGGCGGCCCGGGCTTTGACACATGTGGCAGCTTCACTCCTAATGAGGTTCTCGGACTTGACACTCACCCTGGCTGGACTCAGTGTCACTGACTTCAAGTCCGGCTGGGTCTCTCTCTTCAGCAAATGGCGAAGGGCAGGCGTGGGCTCTGGAGGCAAATAGGACTGGGTTCAAGTTCCAGCTCTGTCCCCACTGACCCTGTGACCTTGGGCAAAAGCACTGTGCTTCTCCAAGCCTCAGTTTCCCCACATATAAAATCTGCATGATGACAGCATAATTCATAGTGCCGTCTGGTGTGAGAGGAGAATGATCTGACTATCTTTTTACTTCTTTTTTTACCTCCCTGGGTCCGATATGGTTATAGAGAGAAAGGAAAATTGGGTTTATCCATTTCCCTAAAAGCCAAGGGAAGAAAAGAAAGAGAGAGGCCTATGGGAAAACATAGCCACAGCTGGAGTCTTGATGCTGCTTCTTCCTGGCTGTGTGATCTTCAACAAGTCACTTTCACCTCTGAGCCTCAGTTTCCCATCTGTAAAATGGGCTAAGCACACAGACTTCTTGTGGGTTTCTGAACAAAAGTGAAAGTTCTGAGCAGGCCTTCATCAATGTGCAAGGGGACAAAAGATCTCTGGGAGAACAAGAACAGATTGCTCTCCTGGTGAGCTGCCTGACAAAGAAAGAGGATTCAAAGAACTGACAGGGGACACTGTGAGACCTGGGATGGGGATGCAGAAGTGGGAAAGGCCCCTGAAATTTATCAGCTAAGCTTACTGGGAAATTACAGAGGACTGCAGCACAAAAGACTGAAGTCAGACCGGAAATGAACTTTCAGGCAATCAGGCAACAACAAGTCCACCTCTTCCTGGGATCTTTGACTGTATCTGAAGGAAATCTCCTAAAGAGAATGGGCTCAGACTGACTGTGCTAGAAGGCAGACAAGTGGACAGGGTATCCCCATAGGTGCTTCCTCAGGCCAGAGAGGGATCTGGCTTTGGTATGTAGTAGGGCAGATCCTCCGCAGGCTTTCTTTGAGCCTCATCCTCTGGAGGCCTTGTGACTCTGCAGGAAGTTACTGGGCCTGTTCTGGAGCAGGGGTCGTGTCCTCACAGACAGGCCCAGGTCAGCACCAGGACACAACTCCATTATTTAAGATTTTCATAAAAGAACAAACCTCCGGGGTTGGAAGAATGGCCGGGATCTGACTCTTCCTGCACAGGAAATGCAGCAGCTGTGCTGGAGGCCTGGCTTGACCTGCGGAGGACGCCCCAGCCACTGCACAAGTCCCCCAGCCTGGGAGGCCCCACTGCCACTGTGATGATGACACCTGGGCAGGCTGGCCCCTCCCTCCACCCTGAGCCAGACCCCCACCCATGCACTAACTGCTTGTGGACTCTGCGCTGATTTTATTGTAATTTCTTCCTTGTCGCAGTTAATAGCATTAGTTTGTTAATTACTGTATATTTTAAAAGTAAGAGGAAAGGGAATTCCCACTGGAGACTTGTTCTTGGCTGAAACAATGTGACAGGAGGGAAGGGAGAGTGTTGGGGTAATGAGCTCGCTCTGATGCTTTCTGCTCCTTTGCTCCTTCTGACAGTGCCTGGGGCCAGAGATGGCGCTGGGAGGTGGGAGGCACCCAAGCCCCTCCTTCAGGGGACCGTCCAACTTCTGCCCCCCCCCTACACATGATCAGAGAACTCATGCCCAAGGGGAGGGGGCTGTGCCAGGAGCCCTGGGGTCAAAGGAACCAGAGTAGAGTGACATAAGATACTGAGGAACCTGGCCTGGAACCAGGGCCAACTGAGAGAGTAGGATGGAGTTTTAATTAAGAAAGGGCCAGAATTTGGAGAGAGGCTCCTGCATTGAAATTAAGCAAGAGACTGCAGAGGCAGAATGGGGGTGGGGGACACAGGTCCCTGAAGAGGCAGGAGCAGCAACCGTGGCTGAGGGAGACGCAGCCCTCATGCTGGGAGTCAATGCAGATGAAGGGCATCTCTGGTAAGTCCTGAGCTGGAGGGGTTCAGTGCACACCAGCAGCACACGGCTTCCCGCTCTGCTCTTCCCACCCGGAGTCTAGTGAAGGGAAGCTGGCCCTGAGCCCAGGGACCCAGGAAGGGTTAGGGGAAGAGTGGGGAAGAGTGGATAGGGAGACAGCATGGGAGGGAAGGAGGCCCGGAGAGGGGGAGAGCCTCAGACAGAGAAGGATGGAGACCAAGAAGGAAGTTCATCTGATCTAGAGGAACTGATTAAAATCCTGGAAGAAAATGTGATGGAAAGACTTTCTATCTTTCTATTGAGACATTTAACCTAAAAGAAATGAGTTAAATAATTTATACAGAGAACGAGTGAAATTTGCTTTGATCAAATTAAAAAATATGACTGTGGAAATAAAGTGTCCGCCGCGTCCTTTCCAGGCGGCAGAAGGAGCTGCCGAGAAACAAAATGACAAAGACATAAAAATAACTAACCCTAACCCGGCGAATATTAGTACCATATTTTTTGGGAGATTACAGAGCGTCACTGTAGGCCACGCAGAGAAATCCTCTCTAAGCACCAACAGGAGAGGGCTTGCTCATTGCGGAAGCCCCATAAAAGACAGAAAATGGATAAAATTTTCCTTTGCAAAAGTGATCTGACTTCACTCAGGGGTTGGCCCAGAAGCCACAAGGGATCAAGTTAATTTCCCACTTGTGCATTCAAAAAAAGAAGAGAACCATCGGCTCCCCACCCCAACTCTGTTTCTTGATGATGACTGTTCTTCTCCCAAACACCTCACACACACACACTCGCACACACACCTGTGCGTGTGCGCATGCACACACACATACGTGAACTCATCTGCCCTTAAGGGTCATCACAGATCAGCTCCGAGAGCAAAGGGTAAGCATGAATACCCGGGACTGAACTTCTCTGGGCTTCAGTGTCACTCTCTAAAATGGACTCAGCTCTACTGTGCGGGAGCCTGGCAGGCTGCCCTGACTCAGAATTTGGGGCCATCTCTTCCTCTTCCACCTGAAGAAATGCCGCAAATGCCCCAGATGCTGGAAATTCCTGCCTCACCTGCACCTCCTCCGGGAAAGTCCAGTCCCTGAGAGAAAGTTGATCTTGAGGGGCACCAGGCCTTCCAACTTTGAGGGTTCAATTAACCAAAACCACACTTAGTTCTGGGAGAACATCCAAGATTAAAAGCATGGGCTCGAGCATCAGTACCAGGCTCAAATTCTGGCTTCCCCATTTTACGTAGCTGTGTGACCATGGCCAAGTTAACTCACTTCCTCTATTTCCTCATCTGCACAATGATAGTAAAACAGATTTGCTGGGATTCACTGAGATAAGGGATGTAAACGGGGTACCTAGAATGTTGTAAAAAATTCATAAATGACAACAGATTTCACAAAGACCTTGGAAGAGACATTCAAGGTCACAGTAAATTTTCTTTCCAGATCATTAGTTCTGGTTTCTTTTCTCTTTCTTTCTTTCTTTCTTTCTTTCTTTCTTTCTTTCTTTCTTTCTTTAGTTGTAGATGAACACAATACCTTTATTTTATTTATTTATTTTTATGTGGTGCTGAGGATCGAACCCAGGGCCTCATACGTGTTAGGCAAGTGCTCTACCGCTGAGCCACAACCCCAGCCCCATTAGTTGTGGTTTCTGATCCCCAGATGAAGAGGCTCCAGCTGACCTCTGTACTAGCTGCACTGGAGCCACCTCTAATGGTTCTCCAACACATCCTGGTGGCACAGAGGAACCAGGATGAAGGGGGACACATTGACATGAGGCCTGGAGAAAGGAGGAATCACAGCTCAGCAAGGGAGACTGGAGGAGTCAGAGAGAAGACCAGCAGCCTCCCCGTTCCTAGGGGACTGTCATTGGCCAGAGGGGGTCTGAAAGTGGAGATGGGCTCCTAGGAGCCTTGGAATACTAGGCGTTTTGCAGCAATGCAGAGGCTGCTTCAGCGAAAGTGAGTTCCTGCCTCTGGGGGGTGCTGTGTGTAATCAGAGCCTTGGGGTAAGTCAGAGGGGCTTGGAGCATCCCCTGAGGGCTCCAGCTCAGAACCTACTCTGCCTGCTTGGTCCTGGGGTCTCTGGCCCCTTCCTTCTTTTCTGTGCTCCTTGCTCCTTCTTTTCCTTCTCTATGGGATTCTCTTCCCTTCTCCCCACCCCATTCTTCTGAGGACCCCTGAGAAAAAGCAAAGACCATATGGGGATAGAGTGCACGCATATCGTGGGTTTGTTTGGCTGAATGGTGTGAAGATAGGAAGGAGCCGCAGGTGATGGAGAAGCAGGTGTGTATGTGTGAGAGAGAGGGAGGAGGGAGGGAGGAAGAGAGGGAGGGAGATGGAAGAAGAGAAAAAGGAAACAGGAAATAGAGGGAGACGCAGAGAGAGAGAGGGAGCAAGAAAGACCACAAAGACCAAATGAGCAGAAAAAGAGGGGAAAAGAAATATTAGAGAAAAATGCTGAGAGGGGAAAAAATCAAAATGGGAGGAAATTCAGAGGAAAGGAGAGGTGGGGGGAGAGGGAGGGGGAGGGGCGCCACAGCCTGCACTTGCAGCTGTCTAGGGGGCCAGCTGTGGGTGGGCCCAGGGCACACGCGTGTGCTCACAGGCACGGCCACTGAGCCACTGTGTCAGTGAGAGTGTGTCAGCCCCGGGATGGGGATGAGCTGGCTTTTATCTCCTCTGGCTGTGCAGGATTTACAAGCTTTTGAAATGCAGGATTAATAAGAAGAGGCCGGTGTTTTAATCTATAATGGAACAGAAAGTATCATTATTGTTAAATAATGCACAGCCTGTCGTTTATTAAGAATTAATGGTTTATCGAGTACTCAGGTTGCTTGCAGCCGCCTGTGCCCTCCCAGGCCCGGGCTCCTAGCTACTGGCCTGGCGGTCCAGCCGTGGACCCCAGAGCCAGCCTGGCCACCGGCAGGCTGGAAGGGCAGCAGCCAGCCAGCGAGGCTCTGTGTGCCTGCTCAGAGGCTCGGGATTTCTGTGGGCTTCCCTGGCAGGGACTGGGAGAGGTGATGGGGGTGAGTTCCCTTCATCCCTTCGTCCTGGACCTACCTACCCATTCTGGGGGGATTTTTAAAAATGTATCTTCCCCCATGAGGCTTCCCCACAAAACTTCCACCTCTAGCCACCGAGACCTCTGGAAGGAGTGACAATATAGAAGGTCCCCTTCTCCCACCTGGGGCCTAGAGTAAGGGATCCTACTTCCCATGAGAACAACACCTGTGGAGGCAGGCCACCTGACCCTGGAAGAGGGGACCCTTGTCTGAGAGAACTTTCTCTGGGCGGGGTTTCACATGGTCTCCATCACCACCCGACATCGCCTCTGTTTTATAGATGGGGAAACTGAGACTTGGGGAAGTTGTGACATCTGCCGGAGGCCACACCACAGATGGCAGGAACAAGTTATTCTATTTTATTCCAAAGCCCTTCCCACTCCAGGCCTTGTCTCAAAATGAGTGACTTCAAGGACAGCATCTGAGAACTGCTAAAGGGTCTCTGTGTTTGTCACATGGAGCTGTGACTGCCAAGTACCAAGTCACAGCAAGCCAGCATCTTCCCCAGCAGGGGAAACTGCAGCCAGTGGGTGACTTTCCAGGAAGGCAACCGGGGAGTCTGACACCCAGCTCAGCATCCCAGCCAGACTCCATCCTGAGCCCTTATGACACCAATCTACATGGTTTGAGTCTTTGGCCAGAAATACCCAGGTCCAGACACAGAAGCTCACCATATATGCACCATCTGAGGCAGGAATTAGAGCTGAGTGGCCCCTGGGCAGATTACTCAGCCTCTCTGAACCTCCATCATTGTAATAATGCTTGCCTCAAAGGGTTGTTGAAAATACTGAATGAGGTCCTCCATGTCAGAGTGTGGCGTGGACCCACAGGAAGCCCTCATGTTGATCTGGGGGAGAGGAAGTGGCACTGGGGGTTGCTGGGGTTACTGGTTCCAGCATAAGCACACTTCTAGTGCCACAGCTCACTTATTCATTTATTCCACAAGGACGTGTGAGCACCAGCTTTATAATAAGCACACATCTCCTGAGCACCTACACTGGCCAGGGTCTGAGTGCTGAGCAAGGCAGAGGCCGTCCCTAGCCCAGAGGCTCCTCTGTCACATTTGTCTTCACTGTTCTTCCCACAGCCTTCTCACCCAGTCCCAGATCCCAGTCCCAATTTCTCACCCCTATCTTCCACCTGCTCTGTCTCTATTCCCTTCCTGGCCGCCTCTCGGTTTTATCTGTTTATTTGCAGTACTGGGGATTGAACCCAGGAGAGTTTTACTACAGAGCAGCATCCCTGGCCTTTTTTTTTTTTTTTTTTTTGGTGGTGGTGGTGCTGGGGGTTGAACCCATGGCCTTGTGCATGCAAGGCAAGCACTCTACCAACTGAGCTACATCCCCAGTACCTAATCTCCAGCCTTTTTCATTTTTTTAATTTAAGGCAAGGTCTTGCTAAATTGCTGAGATTGGCCTGGAATTTATGGTCCTCCTGCTTCAGCCTCCCTAGTCTCTGGGATTACAGATGTGCGCCACTGTACTCCTGTCCCCCACCTCATCTCTGTGCCCAAGTCCCCATTACACTCCACCCTCCACTCCATCCAGTACATTCTCCCTCCTTGGCTTTTTTTCCGCATTCCCCTCTTTATCCTTTCTCCATCCAAGCTCCCCTCATCTCATCCCCATCTCACCTGATCCCCTTCCCAGTTCCAATCTTTCACTACCCTTTCTCCTCAGTTTCTGCCATCTCCATCTCGGTCCTTCCTCATCCTCATCCCCAACTGCAGGGATCCAAGGGAACTGACAGAGAAGGGGACACTGCCCCAGAGGCCACACTGCCCCCAGAGGCCACTGTGGGAAGGCACATTCCAGGGGATGAGCCCCAGATCCCCCAGGGCTAGTGCAGCCACAGCACCTGCAGTAGGTAGAGTCCCCTCCTCTGGCTGGAGCGGGGAGGGCACTGACTGAGCTGCAGACTTGCTTCTCTCTCCCCACCCCCATCGTCCCTTTCTCCTCTGGGCGGGCCACCACGCTGGGACCACGGCCCACAGCCTGGCTCCTCACGCAGCTCCTGTTTTATTAACCTGCCTGTCGCTGCTCTCGCCACTGAATAGGGCCTGTGGGGGGGGCCGGGAGGGGGGGCCCAGGGCTTTGCCAGGGATCACCATGGAAACAGCAGCCTCGGCCAATCAGTGGGCAGGCAGCTCCGAGTGCAGCGGGCAGCTTGGTCTCCGAAGCCTCGTGCAGCCCGCAGGCTGACTCCTGCCTGACAGGCCCTCCCCAGCCCCTGCCAAGGGAGAGGATAAAAGCGGGGACAAGACCCTAGGGGAGGGGGCAGAGGCAACCGAGCAGCGGGAGTGCAAGGCCAGGGGCGCTAAGCACTGAATTAGGAGATGAGGAGAAATTGGAGGAAGGGGATCAGAGACCCCTGGCATGGAGATCTGGAAGTAGAATATTAGGAGCCCTGGGGTAGGGGGCTGAATTTCTCCCCAGCTGCAGTTCTCTGCCTAACCCAGGGTTCCTTGACCTCGGCACTACTGACATTGGGGACCAGGTAATGCTTTGTCATGGGGGGCTGCAGATTAACTGCATCCCTGGTCTTTGCTCACTAGAAGCTAGTAACACCCCCCCCATCCCCTAGCTGTGACAACCAAAAATGTCCAGATACTGCCAAATGTCCCCTGGGGTCGAAATCACCGGTTTGAGAGCCACTCTCCTAAGCACTCACAGGCAGTGGTCACTGTTGGTGAAACTTGCTCTCTCTGAGCTGGCTTCTCTGAAGCGAAGGACGAAGAGGGGGAAGGGAAGGAGGAGGAGGGAGCCCAGGGCAGGGTTCCAGGTTGGGGGGATGAGCCTCTGGAAATAGACAGGACCAGGAGCTGCCAATTTGTGCTGCAGAGATTAAATAAAATAAGGTCTCTAAATGCCTTTCTTTGCTGGGTGTGGTGGCACATGCCTGAGGCTGAGGCAGGAGGATCACAAGTTCAAGGCCAGCCTCAGCAATTTAGTGAGGCCCCCAAGCAATTGAGCAAGACCCTGTCTTAAAATTAAAAAATAAGACAGACATGGTGGTACATGCCTGTAATCCCCAGTAGCCCAGGAGGCTGAGGCAGGAGGATCAGGAGTTCAAGATCAGCCTCAAAGCAACTCAGCAAGACCCTGTCTCTAAATAAAATACAAAAAAAGGCAGGGGATGTGGCTCAGTGGTTGAGTGCCCCTGGGTTCAACCCCTAATACCAATAAATAGATAAATAAGGCTGAAGTTGTAGTTTACTGGTAAAGCACCCTTGTGTTCAATCCCCAGTATATCTCCCCCCTCCAGAAAGAAAGAAAGAAAGAAAGAAAGAAAGAAAGAAAGAAAGAAAGAAAAGGAAGAAAAGGAAGAAAAAGAAAAAACAACAACAAAAAAATAACCTTTTCCTCACTGAGGTTTCTGGTTCCTTCTCAGCCTTGCCCAGCTGCCTTCCGTCAAGCTCACATCAGGCACCACATCCAGGAAGCCCTCTCAGATTCTCTCAATCAGGCTAGTTTTTCTTTCTTCAAGACTCCTCATTATGTGGCTTCTACCTCTGTGCCAGCAGCTGGACGCTGGTTCACCTCCAACACAGACACCTTTACTGAGGGTTTCTGTGCGCTGGATCCTGACTAAAGGCTCTAAGCATATTTTTCAATCTTCCTTATGACTCCATGAGCTAGGTTCCATTAACATCCCCGTTAATGAGGAAACTGAGGCTCTAGTTAGAAAGTTTGCCCAAATGACTCAAGTTAGGTCCTTCAATCAGTTAGAAGTAGCAAAGTGAGGACTCAAACTCAGGAAGTCAGTACACACGTTTCTAACCTCTGATGTGCACAGAGTGCGCATCCCCACTCCCCGCCCCCCTCCCCCACCGTTGAATTCGCAGCTCCTTGATGTGCTCAGCATGTCTGGTGAGGGGCAGGTGCTTGAGGGCTGTTCTGAATCTGCTAGTGGTTTCTAGAAAGTTCTGAGTGGGCAGCAGGGCATCTAGCCCAGAAGGCGAGGGCCAACTGGCAACTCCAGGGTGCTGTTCCCACTAAGGCCCCAGCTTTGGCTGGGATGTGCTTTAGTTGGGCCAGCCCATGAAAGACAAGTACCATGTAGGCTACATCTCAGTCACACTGCTTCACTGGGTCACCTCTGGTTTCTAGGACAGACTGTCCCTCAATCCCATGGAAGCTGGGCCATGGCCCCCCCTAGTGGCCAGAGGGCCCTGCTGATAGAGGTGACAGTGCCATCCACACCTCACCCACAGCCCCCATGGCTTCTCTCTGAGTCCTATTCCCAGACTCTAAGGAAACCCCAGGGCAGGGGGGTAGAGCCAGAGGGCTCAAGTATATGTCATTGAGGAACCTGGACTCAAGCCTATGCCTAGAGGACAAAGCAAACCCCTCTATCTCCCATCACTGCCCCCCCCCAGGAAGAGCCCATCTTGCTTCCGCCCCATTTGAAATAGTGGGGGCGGTTTTGGCAGAGAACTTCCACCACAACCCCCCCACACACACCGCCAGTCTAGATTCCACCCCCATCCCTTCCTTACATTCAGTAAGAGAGGGCTTGAGGCTGAGGGGCGTCTGCCAGGAAGTATCGTGTGATGCCACTTCCCGCTCAGGTTAGGGTTTTGATCTGGAATCCAGGAGCTGGAGTCCCAGGGGGCTCACATCAGAACTGCTCCCTGCATATACCACCACCTCCCCCAGGAACCTGCAGCACACCACCTCGGCTTTGAAGGCAGGGCTCCTGACAAGCTGCTGTTCCCATGGCAACCCCATCCCAGGCTGCCCTACCCGGTGCTTTCCTCCACCCCCTTCCTCCACCCTGAACCCTCAGCACCTTCATTCACAGAACAAGAACTGCTTCATGTGGACAGAGTGGACTCCCCTTCCCCCTGCTCTCTCCATCCCCTTCTTTTTCCTTCTTCTCATTCAATGGAGAACGATAAACCAGAGAAATGGATGGAGAGAGTGGGGGTGAGAACAAGGCTGAGCTAGGATGGGTGGAAGGGTAGTCTAGAAATGGAAAGGAGCCTACGGCTCAGCACCCCCACCCCTATCATGGCACCCCAAGGTTCAGGTCTCTGTTCATCTTCTTCCCAGCTCTGTGGGTCTGTACCTCTCCTGCTCTCTGTGAAGATCCAAGGCTCAGACAGCCTTCCTTGTTATCCCCAGGCCCCAAGCCCAACAGGGCCAGGTCTGAGCCTCCAGCACCAGCCAAACTGTAACTCAGAGGACAGATGCAAAGGATCAGCCCTGGAGACCCAAGGCTGCTCTGACCCTGGTAACCCTCTTCCATAAGACACAACCTTGCAGAGGTAACTGGGAAGCAAGGGGACTCAGCTTTAGGATGAGATGGTGGGAAAGACTAGAAGGGAGCCTCAGACCCCAACCCGGTTTAAACAGTGCAACTCCCCAGGCTAGAGAAGAAAACTTGATTTGGGGGCTTTGGCAGGTGCTCTTGGAAAGTCAGGAGAGGCCTACTGAGAACAGACACCAGTCCCATCTCTGCAGGAGGGCCCTAATCAATGGTCAGAAACTCAGCTTCAGAATCCACTAGACTGATATTGAGTTATAATGCCCTCATTTATTCATTGATGCTTATCTACTCTGAGCCTTGATTTTCATACCTGAAAAATGGAGAAACAATTACATACAAGTATGTGACTGAAACTCATGAGCCCTCCATCCCTTCCAGACAGGTCTTAAGATACATTATTTCACTTAATCTTTCTGGTAAACCCAGTGAGGTAGATGTTATTTATATGTCTATTACACAGAGAGGAAACTGAGACCCACCGATATTAAAGTTGGAGAGTACAGCTTTCAATTCAGGCAGTATAAGATAAGGTATGCATAGGGTTTTGCAGCTGCTAAATCTCCAAAAACTGGGGATGGTTTTTTTTTGGGGGGGGGTGTACTTGGGATTGAATCCAGGGATGCTTAACCACTGAGCCACATTCTCAGCCCTATTTATTTATTTACTTACTTATTGGTACCGGGAATTAAACTCAGGGGCACAGGACCACAGAGCCACATCCCAGTCCTATTTTGTATTTTATTTAGAGACAGGGTCTCACTGTGCTGCTTAGCACCTAGCTGTTGCTGAGGCTGGCTTTGAACTCACCATCTTCCTGCCTCAGCCTCCCAAGCTGCTGGGATAACAGGCAGGTGCCAGGGCACCAGGCAAATGGGGATCTTCTGATGAGTGGGTTTTATGTCCTAAGCTGGGGCTTTATATCTCACTTCCTTGCTCCACAGATGCACAGCCTCCACTGGCAGCCTGGATTGTGTTGTCACCAGGCAAGGTCAAGGAAGGGGCTCAGACTTGGTGAGGCTGGGGATGTAGTACAGGAGGGGAAACTAGATTTGGACCAAGGAGCACCTGAGCCCACGGGGTTGTGACTATGCCTAGCCGCCTCTTTGACCCTGGACACAGAGCAAGGTGAGCCCCCAAGGAGGAAGGGACTTATCCAACCTTAATCTACAGCTCTACTTGGCCCCCCACCCCATAGTAGGCAGTCTTTGGAAAACAAGTCAAGGTCAAAAGCTTGAGGGGTACAGGCAGAGGTGAGGGGTGCTTAGAATCCCCGAGGAAGGGTGGGGAAGAGCTGGAGGGGGAGTGATATTTCTATTAGGGGGAGACACTCAGCCTGGAAGTGAAACTTACTCGGCCAGACTCGCTCCTTCCCAGCCTCCCCTGGGTCCCACCCAGGCCTGGCGAGGGCGTCAGGCATCCCTGCGCAGCCCCGCCCTCCCAGAGCCTCCACTCGGGGCCACACCGTCTCCCCCACCCCCCACCTCCAGTGAACAAGCCCAACAAACAGCATTGTTCCCCCACACAATGGACACAAAGAACTTGGGAATTCACAGAATGGTCCTGAATTTCAGCTTCCTTCCCCTCCAAGCCCTAGAGAGATCCATTGTCTGTAAACTCCACTTAAAATACGCTCCACTGCTCCAGCTGGGGAGCCACTTAAGACCCGCGGAAGAGCCTCCCCCGCCCTCCCCCGCTCTTCCCCCGGGCTCCCTACCCTCCAGGAGCTGGGCCGCGGGGGAGGAGCAGCCTCCGGAGTCCTGGGTCCCGCGGGAGGCCGACCCCCGCCCGCTGCCCCCACCCAGCCAGTAGCACCCGGCGGCCGCTAACATGGACTAACTGTGGGGTGGAGGGACCCGATCGCTGGCGAAATCCGACTCTGGGGACAGTGGCGTTGAAATGGAGACTGCCAGGGACCCCTCCCTCTATCCTGACGTCTGTGTTCCGACCTCCAAGGACAGGGAACTCACCCCCTCTGCAGACACCTGTGCCACTCCTGAAACTTCTCCCTATTACTAGACCTTCTTTGGGGAGCTCCACCCACTTCATCCGAGGCCCAGGCCGGGTGCTTCTCCTGGGCCCCGAGCGCCACTGTCTTCCTCCAGGATGGGGCAGGCTGCTGGAATTTGAAGGCGTTCATGGTACCACCCCTGAAGCTCTCTTTCATCCCAGGCTGAACGACTCTGACGTCTTCCCCTACACCCCATTCATCAGTAGTTTTGAGTTCCTTCCCTATCTTATTTCCCCATCTTGGGGACTCAGTGGTGCCCAAAGCTGACCCGAGCACCATAATCTTTATTCAACAGATATTTATCAAGTGCCTTCCAGGTACCAGGCACTGTATTTGGAATTAGGGGTCAGACAAGATTCCACTTCGACTGAGTTGGGGAAGTCAGATATTGATATCAGATGAGAGAGGAATTAATGCATAATTACTAAATAAGATAAGGGGTGTGTCTGTAGGAGCTTTGTAACAGGAAAACATTCAACAGAGCAATCTGATTAGTGTGGAAGGGAGAGGGATAGCCTATCTCAGACTAACTGAGGTCTAAAGAAGGGAAGATCTAACTGCAGAAAGGAGTTGTTACAGCATTCAAGATGGTAGGAATTGACTGCAAAGGCCCTGTGGCAGGAGGAAGCTTGCCTTATTAAAGGAACTGAAGAGGCCAATGGAATTGGAGGGCTAGTGGGCTTGGAGTGGAGTTGTAGCCCTCAATGAGAAGTTTGACATGATTCTTAAAAGCAATGAAAAGATGTATGTATGCAATAAAAGTTGGTTCACTTTTACCTCAAGATGACACAGGGGGCTGGGGATTTGGCTCAAGCGGTAGCGCGCTCGCCTGGCATGCGTGCGGCCCGGGT